TTCCTACAGACTTTTACTTATATATATATATATATATATATGCGTGCCATTCTCAGGCAATACTGTTTCGCTGTATCACAGCTCTTAAGTGCGACTAGACATCCGAATGCCTTAATCCACGATTGAAACCCAATCGATTTGGTGTCAATCAGAGTTTCTACCACTGAGCTAGCTTCACTCGACAGAATGAAGCAGCTAAATCTAGCGTATTTTTTTACAAATGTAAACAAATATCAATCAGCCGGAGTGATCTATTTTTTGTACAGAAGAGCTTCGCATTGACGCATGTGGCTGTTGTTTGTAGAATTAGCTTGTCATTCAACAGTGCTCAAATGAAATATACTTTCATGAGCTAAATTACATATGTGTGTGTGTGTGTGTGTGTGTGTGTGTCTTTGTGAAGTGAAATGTTTAAAGCTTTAGTTTATAACAGAAAATATACTTAATATTTGGATAATTGAAAGATTGTGCAGTGCTAATAATAAAAGAATTTCAATTCACTTCATGGTTTTTCGCGTGTGGACATATATTTGATTGAGTTGCAATCTTCAAAAATATTAATAACGCTTCTTAAGCACAAATTGTAAGCTTCATTGTCGTTTAGGCTTCGTTTTTCTACCCGATGTCTCGTTTTGCATGACCAGTTCATTTTACTTTTTTTTCCTTCCTTTTAACTGTCACGCCAATCTTTGCGCTGAGTAATAAACACTGCAAAGACTTGCGTTTCGCAAACAATGTCAGCAACGTTAAACAGACTTTTATGAAATTGGATTTTCATGACGTCAAAGCAAATTCTTTCTTTTCTTCATTAATTCATTTCTTTTGAAGTATTTCAGAATTTTTTCCCAGATATTTTTAACCAGAAACTTTTTTTCTATTTCTTTAGCGATTTTTTAATAAATAGATTTGATTTTTTTTTTGTCTTCACGAGCGTTAAACTAGTGCGGGTAGCTTAGCCTGAGGTGACATGTTGAGAAATTGAATATTTTGCGTAGGTTAGGGAAAAAGCCTCGAGCAGGATTTCCTTTACGTACCTTTAGGTCTGATCCCAGTTCGAATTTTAACGATGTCTGTTTTGTTCATCTTTTCGATTGGTTTTTGTTTTTTTTAATTTTTACTCTCATTTATTTTTTCTTCAAAATGACGTACAATATTTGCCTTTCCGCGAAATGGATTATCTTTCAAATAATATAATTTTTAATTGAACAGAGTAGTGTTAGTCCCTTCTTATTTCCAAGGATATTATTATTATTATTTTCCTCATTATTATTACTATTTTCCTTATAATTATTATTATTACTATTTTCCTTATTATTATTATTATTATTATTATTATTATTATTATTATTATTATTATTTCTGCTATGGACACACTTACAAGTCTGCGGAAAGACCTAAGGCAGGTCGTGGTGTGTTGTTATTTACATTTCATGTTAATTTTTTTTTTTTTTTTTTATCTCCGATGAAGTTGCTAGCGTTACATAGACAAAGTTCTCCTTAGTGTGTGTGCTGTATTAATAAGACAATTTTCTGTATGTCTCTTAAGCTGGGGTTTCCAGGATTCTTTCAATGTGTTGTTTTGTTCCATTTTTATAATTCCAAGTGCACCTATTACCACTGGTATTATTCTTGTTTTCAATTTCCACATTTTTTTCTATTTCAATTTCCAGGTCTTTTGTATTTTGATAGTTTTTCAAATTCCTTGGTTGCTATGTTACAATCCGCTGGACAAGCCATATCAATTAGTAGGCAAGTTTTTTCTTTCTGGTTTTTTGACAATAATGTCCGGCCTATTTGCTTCAATTTTTCTGTCTGTGTGGATGGTATAATCCCATAGAATGGTGACATCTTCTATTTCTGTAACCGGCGCTGGCCGATGTTCATACCAGTGTTTGCTTACACATTTTCCAAAGTGTTTGCACATTGTCCAGTGTAAGTATTGCCCCCACTCTATCGTGACGATTTTTTATATTCATTTGGGGCAAGTATAGAACATCCTGAGATTAGATGGTCTATTGTTTCTTGGTATTTGTCACAGAACCTGCATTTTGGATCCACATTATTATGTATGATATTTGCCTGAAAATTCCTAGTGAAAAGACTCTGGTCTTGCGCTGCAAGAATAAAGCCTTCAGTTTCAGACTTTAATCCAGATGCTCGTAACCATCGATGAGTATTAACTTTATCAACATTGGGTTTATTTGCATCGTTCTGGATATTGGCCATGCAGAGGTTTGTCTTGCCAGCGTTGTTTCATCTGTTCAAGGGCTTTATCCTTGGCTTTCTTTTTTCTTTCTGTTTTTCAATTCACACTAATTTTATCATCCAGTCATTTGTTGTTTTCCATGTAAAAACCCTCATTCCAAATTGTTTAAGGACAACGGGATATTTTTTGTTGAGGAGGCTCTGCGTCTTGTCACAAAGAATTTTATTGTTCGGTTTCAAAGAAAACTTGTCTCGTTTCTTAAATAACGCACTTTATCTTTTCTTTCTTTTTTTGTCATCGGCTTTTATTTCGTATGTCTTCGTTTCTTGAACGTTATTCTCATCTTACTGCATCACTATTATTACCTTATTTGAAATTACTAAAATCAGGGCCAATTATCTTGAAGCAAAAGTGTCCGTCACCTTGGGCAAGAAAATTAATCCTTCCTAAATGCAGACGCCATTTGTCTTTTCGCTTGCAGGTAAAACACATTGTTCCAAGCTAAAAGCCGAGGCGAATAAATTAATAATAAAAAAAGGAAAATAGGCAAGAAATGTATGAGAATTAAGGAAACACAAAAAAAATAATAATGAAAGGATCTGGCGTTACAGAATCTTCTTGCTTTTTGTCTTTGTTTCTCTTTTCGTGTTGGCTAATCTTTTTGATTCTTCATCTCACCCTGAAAATACCAGTATTATCTTTCTTTCTTTCTTTCTTTCTTTCTTTTTCTTTCTTTCTTTTTCTTTCTTTCTTTCTTTCTTTTTTTTTCTTTCTTTTTCTTTCTTTCTTTTTCTTTCTTTTTCTTTCTTTCTTTCTTTCTTTCTATTTTCGTCTCTCCTTTTCTTTCCATTTTTAAAATGTCTTTCTCTTTTTTTCTCTCTTATTATTTTTCTCCTGCCATTTCAACTCTCACGCGCTCAATTCCTGTAAATGTCTTTTCCTTCATTTCTCCTCCCTTCCTTCCTTTCTTCCGTCCTTCCTCTATTTTATCTATTATCATTTCCTTCTCTCTTCTTTTCTCTCTTTTCGCGATTATCTCTCTCTTTTCCCATCTCAGTTTCTTCTCCCCTCTCATTCCTCGTTTTTATTAACAATCTTCCCTATTTCTCCCTTTTCTGATGTTCCTGGTTTGATTGCTTCTCATGATCTTCTCTCTTCTCCTCCCTTTTGAGATCTTTTTTGCCTTTCCCTTTTCCTTTCCTTTCTTTGTTCCTTTCCTTCCATCTATCTCCACAAAATCTTCTCCTCTTCACGACTCCCCATACCCGAGGGTAGGACTGACTTCCTTGGCCAAGGAATCAATGAAGTCCACAAGAGACAAGTCAGACATCATCGTAGCTCTCATCAAAAGCTGACAATATCATTGCCAATCGCATCACTTTATAAGAAAGGGAACCCATTTATCAAAGACACACCAAGACAAAATGTCCCTTCATTTCAAGGGCACCTGGCTCTTAGCTTCAGGATGATGTTTATTTCCATTCCGTACAATCGGTCCAGGGAGAAAAAAAAACTGGATTCAAACCTTAGCTTCAACTCTCGTTTTCATACCTCCAGCTGTTACTTACCCGACGGACATCTTGGCAGCAATTATTATTGTTATTATTATTAACTTTTATCTACTCTTGTGGCTACTGTAGTAAATTAAATGATAGCAAGTTTCCCGGAATATTGTTGTTATTGTTTACGACTTTCTTCTATTGACTTGTCGGTAATGTAGAATACAAGAGATATGAAGTCGCGCAACACCATTCTTCTTCTTCTTATTATTATTATTATTATTAATAATAATAATAATTTTGTTTGGTTTGTTTTACGGCGTATCAACTACAATTGGTTATTCAATGCCGACAAGATTTTTATGCTGATAATATTTATTTAGGATCATTATCATCATTATTAACTGTTATATACGCTTGTGGCTATTGCAGTAAATTAAGTGATAGCAAGTTTCGCCGATTATTATTATTATTATTATTATTATTATTAATTAGTGCTGTTGTTATTGTTGTCGTGGTTATTTAGTCATACTGTGATTATTATTATTGTTTTATTTTCTTTGGTTTCTGGTGTATACTCATTTCTTTCCAAGACCCGACCAGAGATCTAAAGTCAGAATTTTCAGAGAATTCGACACTGAACCCTTTATTTAATTTACGGAGAGAGGCTGTTCTCGTTCCACTACTCATATTGTTTAGCACTGTTCACTTATTGCTTACCCGTTTACACTCAGTCTAAGTAAACACTGCCCGGCCCAGATATTGAACTGGCAATTACTATGCCACCAAATTCACAACCCACCGCTTTAATCCACTAGGCTATGGCCCCGTATTTATTATTATTATTGTCATCATCATCATCATTCGATTTCTGCTATGGACACACTACCTACCAAGTCTGCGGAAAGACCTAAGGCAGGTCGTGGTGTGTTGTTATGGCCACATTTCATGGGATAATTTTTTTTTTTTTTTTTTTTTATCTCCGATGAAGTTGCTAGCGTTACATAGACAAAGTTCTCCTTAGTGTGTGTGCTGTACTTAATAAGACAATTTTCTGTATGTCTCTTAAGCTGGGGTTTCAGGAATTCTTTCAATGTGTTGTTTTGTTCCATTTTTTATAATTCCAAGTGCACCTATTACCACTGGTATTATTCTTGTTTTCAATTTCCACATTTTTTCTATTTCAATTTCCAGGTCTTTGTATTTTGATAGTTTTTCAAATTCCTTGGTTGCTATGTTACAATCCGCTGGACAAGCCATATCAATTAGTAGGCAAGTTTTTTCTTTTCTGGTTTTTGACAATAATGTCCGGCCTATTTGCTTCAATTTTTCTGTCTGTGTGGATGGTATAATCCCATAGAATGGTGACATCTTCTATTTCTGTAACCGGCGCTGGCCGATGTTCATACCAGTGTTTGCTTACACATTTTCCAAAGTGTTTGCACATTGTCCAGTGTAAGTATTGCCCCACTCTATCGTGACGATTTTTTATATTCATTTGGGGCAAGTATAGAACATCCTGAGATTAGATGGTCTATTGTTTCTTGGTATTTGTCACAGAACCTGCATTTTGGATCCACATTATTATGTATGATATTTGCCTGAAAATTCCTAGTGAAAAGACTCTGGTCTTGCGCTGCAAGAATAAAGCCTTCAGTTTCAGACTTTAATCCAGATGCTCGTAACCATCGATGAGTATTAACTTTATCAACATTGGGTTTATTTGCATTATTCTGGATATTGGCCATGCAGAGGTTTGTCTTGCCAGCGTTGTTTCATCTGTTCAAGGGCTTTATCCTTGGCTTTCTTTTTCATATCTTTTGCTGCAATAGTTGGTTCTTGGCTTCTGTTTTGATTTACTACAGAATCTACTAAATGTAAATGTTGTTTGTATTTACTGCCTTCTTTTATTATTGAATATTTTTTCTTTCTGTTTTCATGTTGTTTCACTAATTTTATCATCCAGTCATTTGTTGTTTCCATGTAAGTTAGTAAGCCAATAGTTGTTGTCTTGTATGACAATTCTAGCTGAATAAGACCTCTTCCACCTTCTTTACTGGGGGTATGTATAGACGGTCTACATCAGCCTTTGGATGATACATCTTATACTTAGAAAGAAGCTTTCTTGTTTTAGAATCCATTTGTCTGATGTCATTTAGAGTCCAGTTCAAGATGTTGAAACTATATTGGACCACTGGGATGGCTAGGTTATTAATGGCCATAATTCTGTTCTGAGAATTTTCAATTCAGTTTTTTAATACCAGTCGTACCCTTCTATAGTACTTTTTACGCACTATTTTCTTTCATTTTCTTATGGTTAATTCCTTCACTCTCATTTACACCTAGGTACTTATAAGCTTCTCCTTGTTCTAAATCTTTTATTGTTACAGCAGGGTCTAAACTAATAGAGGAAGTTTGTTGTAGCGATCCTCGTAAAACTGTAGCTTTAGCACATTTATCCAAATTGAATTTCATTCCGATGTCTTCACTGAAGCATTTTACAGTTTGCAGAAGACCTTCCAGCTCATTGTCATTCCTAGCATACAATTTTAAGTCATCCATGTAAAATAGATGGTTTATTTTCTTTTGAGCTATTTTGTAACCGCATTCTGTCTTGTTAAGTTGGCTGGTTAATGCTATAAGTGATATGCAAAATAATAAAGGAGACAAAGAGTCACCTTGAAATATTCCTCTATTGATGTTTATTTCGCCAGACTTATAGGTTCCATTTTTATGATTGAGGTAAATCGTGTAGTTTTCCATATCGACATACATTGTTTGATGAAATTGATGATAACGGGTGATACCTTGTACATACTTAAAGACTTTAAGATCCAGGAATGTGGTACACTATCGAATGCTTTACGATAATCTATCCAGGCAATACTAAGATTTTTTTTTCACGGAAGCAGTTTTCAGGATCATCCTATTAATAAGTAATTGGTCTTTACATCCGTAGCAGCCTCGTTTGCACCCTTTTTGTTCAAGTGGTAGTATGTCATTTCTTTCCAAGAAGAAATATGTCTGTTTTGTTAAAATAGATGTTAACAGTTTGTATGTTGTTGGAAGACATGTAATTGGTCTATAGTTTTTCGGAATATTTGTGTCACTATTTTTGGGTAGAAGAAAGGTAACTCCTTTGGTCATCCATGCAGGAATTTTAGTTGGATCGGTAACCATTTCTTGAAGTTCTTTGGCGAGTTTTTTTGTGTGCTGTATTTAAATAATATAGCCAGAAGTTAGAAATTTTATCTATTCCTGGAGATTTCCAGTTGTGTGCTTTTTTCAGTGCACATTTAACATCTTCTTCTGTGATTCCCTCCCATGTCTGTTCTGGTTTATTTTTATCATTCGTTCTAACTCTTGCGCAATCCAATCTGCCTCTTCGTTTGTGTTCTTTAGGGCAAGCCCATATTTTTGTTGAGAGAACTGTATAATTTTGTGGATATGGGGACTTCCATTTTAGGGGGACTGTCACTTCAATTCTTTGTTTACCTATTTCCCTGTAAAATTTTTTTTGCATCGGTTTGAAAGATCTTGTTCTGTCTATAGAATCTTGATCTTTTCTCGTAGCGTCTTATTCTTTGAGCCTTCAGTTGTATTGTTTGCTTTATTTTTTCTTTAGTTGATAGGACTTCATTTTCATTCCTGATATTGTATTTTCTTTCGACTCTTCTGCCTTTTCTAGTTCTTACATTTACTCCTCTTGCTAGTTCATCGAGTACTGATAATTCACTTCTAAGGTGTTCAATTTCTTTTCTATTTTTGCCTTTTCCAAGGTGGATCTTCATGTCTGTGAGACTGCCTTTTTTTTTTTGATGTTCAGTTTATTTGTTGCTGCTATTGCTGATGCATATATTGCTTCATTGAGATTTATATGAGTGTCTTCTTCATCCAGAATCAATTTGAGTGCTGCATTATAGAGCTTAATAGTTTTGAGGTTATGCTTTGTTGGTTGTAATTTTGGGAGTTGTTCTCGTTCCTCCATTGCAATATTCTGTATCTGACTTATATGGCTCATGATTTCATCCTTGGCTTCTTGTATATTAATCTTGTTTTCTGTGAAATAATTCTGTTCGATGAATTTTGAACTCGTTTTATTACCGTCTTGTGACTGACTAAGATCATACCTTTCCAACATTTCTAAATTTTCAGCATTATCTTCACAGTGATTTGTGTATATTTCCAATTTTTCATTATGACCTGGGCTTGTGTTATGTTACTACTTTTTTTATTATTATTCCGGTTCCTTTTCATGTTTTGTTGGTTCATCTATTCTTGTTGCAATTCTTTTTATTTCATTAATTTCAGCCTCTGTCAATCGGTTATTTCCATGATGTCCCTTCTTACATTGGCTAGTTTATTTTTTGTCTATGTACTTTCTAATTGTTTGCCCAACCTTCTCTCGCCAAATGTCATATGTTTGGCGAGTGATGTTTTTCTGAGGTTTGAGTAACGCTTCATGGAATGCAGTCATAACAACTTTGTACTCCTCACGAGACCATTTTATTTTTTCTTTCCTTAAATTTACGGTTATGGATCTAGCTGGAGAATTTACAGGACCATCATTAGGATTATCCTGGTTGTGGGGACCTGAAGATTCATTCTTTGTTGTAGGAGTTTGTTCCTATGGCAGATTTTTCGACCTCAGGTAGGTTCCTCCTGAAGGACGGGCTCCCTGTTTATCCACTGGAAGAGCCATACTGGACGTTTTGTTTCTATTTTTAATTTTCATATTAATCCCACGAGTGACGGACGGGTCCAAAAGTCCACCCAAAGTTGCCCGGCACGTTGAGTAACGGTCTTTTCACAGACAGGGTTCCGAAGCCTGTAGGGGATCGTTCGCGACCTCATAACGCATTATTATTCATTATTCGTTGATTAACACTGGTTTAGTTGGAGGTTGTTGTGGATATGTGCAGTAATCTTTCTCACTCTGAGATTCTGCTCTGTCCAAGAATTTTACTCACATAGATTTCAGATGTAGCCTTCAAATCATACCCAATGCCTCTATCAAAACAGGGATAATCGTAGTTTAAGTTTATTATTATTATTATTATTATTATTATTATTATTATTATTATTTGTTGAGAAACACTGGTTTAGATGGAGAGGATTTTGGATATATGCAGTAATCTTTTGTCACTCTGAGATTCTTGCTCTGTCCAAGAATTTTACTCACATAGATTTCGGTAGCCTTTTTATCATACCCAATGCCTCTATCACAACAGGGATAATCGTAGTTTAAGTTTATTATTATTATTATTATTATTATTATTATTATTATTATTATTATTATTTGAGAAACACTGGTTTAGATGGAGAGGATTTTGTGGATATGTGCAGTAATCTTTTGTCACTTGAGATTCTGCTCTGTCCAGAATTTTACTCACATAGATTTCGGTAGCCTTCTTTATCATACCCAATGCCTCTATCACAACAGGGATAATCGTAGTTTTAAGTTTATTATTATTATTATTATTATTATTATTATTATTATTATTATTATTTTAGAAACACTGGTTTAGATGGAGAGGATTTTGTGGATATGTGCAGTAATCTTTTGTCACTCTGAGATTCTGCTTATTGTCCAAGAATTTTACTCACATAGATTTCGGTAGCCTTCTTTATCATACCCAATGCCTCTATCACAACAGGGATAATCGTAGTTTTAAGTTTATTATTATTATTATTATTATTATTATTATTATTATTATTATTATTTGTTGAGAAACACTGGTTTTGATGGAGGGATTTTGTGGATATGTGCAGTAATCTTTTTGTCACTCTGAGATTCTGCTCTGTCCAAGAATTTTACTCACATAGATTTCGGTAGCCTTCTTTATCATACCCAATGCCTCTATCACAACAGGGATAATCGTAGTTTTAAGTTTATTATTATTATTATTATTATTATTATTTGTTGAGAAACACTGGTTTAGAGGGAGAGGATTTTGTGGATATGTGCAGTAATCTTTTGTCACTCTGAGATTCTGCTCTGTCCAAGAATTTTACTCATTAGATTTCATTAGCCTTCTTTATCATGCCCAATGCCTCTATCACAACAGGGATAATCGTAGTTTTAAGTTTATTATTATTATTATTATTATTATTATTATTTGTTGAGAAACACTGGTTTAGATGGAGAGGATTTTGTGGATATGTGCAGTAATCTTTTGTCACTCTGAGATTCTGCTCTGTCCAAGAATTTTACTCACATAGATTTCGGTAGCCTTCTTTATCATACCCAATGCCTCTATCACAACAGGGATAATCGTTGTTTTAAGTTTATTAT